GCATCCCGTTCGTCCGCGGCGACGTCTGGTCAAGGGGTTAATCCAATTACCGGGATACTCGGCTATCAACGACAAGGCGATCGACCGGTCGATTCATCGGCGATTCGAGCGCGGTACGTTTCTGTCCGGGAGCGTGTGTGCAGTCGGTCTGTATCGCTCGGAGATCGGCTCGAGGATTATAGGCTTGCGTTGTTCACCGTTGGCCGGCAAACGGAAACGTTTCGAGGGACGAGGACGCGACGGGAGAATCGAACAGGAAACGTCGATGGGAAGGATCGACCGGAATTCCCTCGTCGAGACGAGAACTTAATTGCTGCGATTATCCTCGTCGAACCGCCGTTGTTTCGGCCCGGTTTTCATTTTCGTCGGTCTCGCCGATCGTTCAGTCGGATCTCGCTCGACGACTCCCGCGCAACTTTTCGTAATACCGCCTCGGGCAATTCCACCGCTATCATCGAGATTCGCGGGACGAGCCGCGCTCGATACCGTCGAGTTTCGTTTCGCGACAATAACTCGAAGTAAACGCCAATGCTCCCGGGCCCTCGGTATCTGTTTCGGGCTGCCCCGAGATCGCCGAATCGCGTTCTATCGCTTCGCCGAACCGTCCGTTCCGCTGTCCCACTGTTTGACGGTAGTCGGGGTTGTTTGCCTTTATGTCGGTTGAGCATTGTCGGCTAAAAGTCTCGGTTGAGTATAAATCATTGTAACGTTCAGTAACGATCCGGAGACGTCGCTTATTCCTCGTGAACCGCAGCTATCGTGGTTTGCTTCCATCCTGTTTCTTCATTGATGTTGACTGAAATTGTTGAATTGTTGAATTGATAAATGAACCCTTTGCACTCGGAAGTTTCTCGGAGTTTCACATTTTTTGACGAAGATATTCTTTGGAACTAAGTCGAAGAGAAGTCAGAAGTATATGGAGAAATCTCGTTTTTATATAGACACTTAGCTATGCAACTTGGCTAATTAACGCAGCATTGAAAGAAATATCAAATTTGATTCGAATTGATTATTAAAATATTGTAGGAAAGAGAATTTTGTTTGAAACAGTATAATTATTTCTTGACAACTCGCAATGAAACAATAACCAAATCAAACAATGCAAACACTATTTATACACTCGGATGCTCTTGTCTCACTCGCACAGTTTCTGGAATATTCTTTCATTACCATGCATCAACTTCACATATATTTGGAATGTTCCAGATTCGTAAAAAACGAACATTATTCACATAGAAATCAATATAGAGGAAATCAATATAGTCTAAAATATTCCAATGCTTTGAACATTCGTTCAAAACGCGCTCCCACACAGTCGCGTCATTCATCTGTTGCACACACATTCAGATACATCCATTCCCACAATATATTACATAACAATATATCTGAGTTTTTCTATGTATAGCGATATAAGTTGACCTCACTGAAAATTGCCATCGCAATTCAGTTCTCTGAAAATCAGCCGGTACGCAATGTGTCAAGATGACGTATATACTCACAGTTAACTGGTTAACGAGAAATTGTATATGAATTGGGGAACGCAGTTGATTTCTTTCAATATGTCACATATTGCATTGTGCAAAGTTTAATAATGAACATCAAAGTTCGCTGCAAATCAACTGGCAACTCAGAGGCGACGGAGTGCAAAGGTTTAACCCTTTGAACTCTGTAGGCTCCAATATTGCACCAGGTATAATATTAAATATTTTAATGAATCTTAAAGAAACTACCCTAAAATTATTCGATTTTCCTCATATCCAAATTTTATGTTAAGAAGGAAAATAAAAGATCGAAGAAATGTTATAGCATTTATAATTTTCGCTGGGAATACTATAAAAATTAGTTGCAGTTGCTGACAGATTACAAAACAACATGGAATGCTAAGGGTTAAAGGTAACAACTGTAACTTGCAATAGTGATGATCGGAATAAAATGTTAACCCCTTGCCGCACAATAACGCGTGAGAGTCGTGATGAAGATTTCTAGACTAATTTAACAACCGATGTTATTCATTACCCACGGATGAAAGCAAACAACTATTTTGCCATGATCATTGTATTATCTTCAAATAAAATTTCCACTTGAAGTAGAATGGACAATTTTCTTGCATTTCTTCCAAATTGTCGATAGTAAAATGGTACATGAGCTTAGTGGCGAAAGTAAATAGTACGCGAAGGGATTAATGACAGTTCGAATCGTGAGCAATCTGATACAAGTTGACCTCAGTGAAAATTGCCATCACAATTCAGATCTCTGAAAATTAGCCGGTACGCAATGTGTTAATCTACGGCGAGCCGTGGTCCGATGAGTCGAGAATTTCATGACAACGCGAGTGCGGTCATCGATGAACGAAAGGTAGCCGAAAGCCGCTCGGTGGCCGAGGCTATTAGCTTTGAGGCGAACGCCGAGGGACCAAGATTAGCGCCGGCAGAGACAGACTCCGGGGCTCGTCTAAAGGAGTAGCTGGAGCGTGGGTTACCTCTCTGTACCTCTCCCAAAGAGGTACAGGTTGCCGCGTTAACGTCGCGACCACATAGTTTGGCCAACGGCGCGAGTCGTATCAACCCTCCGCGACGCGACGGACGAGCTCCGATCGGATCTTCAGACGTCCCTCGTCGAGGGCGCGCTTCCGTTGTCTTGGATTCGATCCGTTGGATCTCTAGAGACTAACGCCATGCATTGCCGCGCGTTGAGTACACGCCTCTGTGTGAAAGATACTGTAGAATACTAAGGAGACACCATAGAACGGTATTTAACCAGTTAACTGTGGAATTTAGTTGGAAGAACCTCTTTCTGCGCGCAGTAAAATAAATTGGAGCGTGTACTCGTCGAATAGGACGAATGCACGTAGAGTATATTTTAATGAAAGATCAAAGCGAAAGAAATTACATGTTTATGTGAAAATTAATTCATCGCTGAAAGAATTAGTGTCGTGTGAAGCTTTACGACGACGTGTATACTCCTCGATACAGTTAACCCCCTATGGGCCGAATTTTTGTTCGTGATTGTAACAGAATCTATGCAGTGCAAAATTAATAAGTATCCACGTATGAATACGAGTTAACAATGTATTGAATAGTTTCAATAATTTCATCAAACGAGTATATTTTGTAACTTTCTTAACTGTTTAAGTTAACTGATTACTTAATTTTACTCACCACTTTGAGTGCAACATGACATAGATCGACAAAATTCCGATATACTGACATGTGACTTCAAAGTTACATGGGCCTACAGAGGGTTAACTGGTTAAACATCATAGGACAAGAGATTAACGGAGAAGCGCGATCGCTGGGCACTCGATTCGAGACGTCTAAAAGTTTTAACGAGTGCATCAAACTTCACAAGTAACAGAACGTCAGTGAAAATATCTGAATATCAGGTGCTTATCAGATAAAGTTAACTGGTTAACACGTTGCCACGGAAACCTTCAGAGTTTTATGTATCGCTTATTCTTTTGTAACAAAGATAAAGAACTGTTACTTATTATTTGATATCGCAATGCTTATTGCACTGACATCTAGTAATTTACTATGAAATATTTCCATTCGACATTAGTTGTCTGACAAATTATAACTATTGTCAAGTAATTTGAAAGCTCCGGTCATCGGTGATCGACATGTTAGTCAACGTGTTAACTCCTTGCTGGGGTTATACAAACATAGGTATCTAAGGAGACACTATAGAACAGTAATAATAATAAATAACTGTTCCCACTTCTCTTTGCTAGAAAAGAGTAACTACGGAAAAAACGGTCAAGGTTTCCGTGGCGCTTAACCCTTTGCACCCCGTAGGCGCCTCTCAGTCGCCAATTGACTTGACACAGCAAAATTATACAGTTTGACATTCAATATTAAACTTCGTACAATGCATCGACACGTGAAATATTAAAATAAAACAGCCTCTTTTTTAATTTATCTACGATTTCTCGTTAAGTCTTAACTCTGAAAGAGTGTCGTTGGTGTTTCATTAAAAACTGTTGAGTATTTCTAATGAGAAGCTTCTGGAGTGCAAAGGGTTAACGTGTTAACCGTTTGAAAACCCGCTCGAAAATTGGCAAGCGACGCGATCGCGCTTTTCATTTGTTCAGAAACTGAATTACACTTTCCCATTTTTACATTAACCAGTTAACTGTGGAATTTAGTTCGAAAAACCTCTCGTTCTGCGCGCAGTAAAATAAAATGTAGCGTGCACTCGTCGAACGCAGGACGAATCCTAGAGTATATTTTAACCCTTCGCACTCGAAGTAAAATGTTGGAGCAAACGTCAACGCAAGTTCCCTCCGCGATCGATGAGCACCGGCAGATCGTTCGGCCGCGACCGGGACGACCATAGAACGGGGTTCCGCGCGAAGCGGCACCGAACTGGAACCGGTCCGCCGAGAGTTCCGGCGAAACGCGCGACCTCGGCCGCTGGGATTCGAACGGCGCCGCGACCGGCTGGTTCCGGCGAGAAATCGCATTAGCCCGCTCCTGGACAGCGGTAACCCTCGCATATCGTTAGCACCGTTCTGCAGCCGATCTCTTCGCGTCTTCCCATCGACTCCACTCGGTCGAACCGCCCCGAACCTCCCCGTTCCACTCAGACACCCCGACTTCCGACAGCCCGGGAATCGATCGTTCGATTCGTTCGTTCCCCGTGAGCAAGCCCGCGTACCGATAGTCCGAGCGCTGCCGCGTTCGCCATCTTTCACCGGTATCGCCGGGTTCCCGCGTATCATCGGCCTCCCCCGAATTCGCTGTCACTCGCGCGCGCAATTTTTCAGCGCGCCGTGCCCTCGGGGAGTAATATTTCACCGGGCGGAAACAACGGCGTCGGGCTCGCGCGCGAGATTACTTTCAACGAATCGATCGTCCCCCCGCGCACCGGCGCGTGCAAAGAAATCCCGAGGATTTCTTCCGTTCCGTTGACCTTCCCGGCGCGCCGCCCGTCGAAGCGGGTGCCCGGCGGTCGCGATCTCTGGCCGAGAGACTGAAATTGCCGGTCGATTCTGTTCGAAGGAGAGGACGTCCGCGGCGCCGAGTGTCCAGAGGACAGCGTCAGAGGAGAGGACGGCGGTTGCAAATGCGCCCAGAACTGTCCAACGCCGGCATGTCCGCCGGGTGAACGTCCGGTCGAAGCGAAGGCTGCGGACCCTGAAACCCCCGGTAGCTGTTGCCCTCTCTACGACTGCAGACCCTCAGGTAATTACGAAAAGTCGTAATCGGGGCTCGCTTCTATGCATCCTGTACCGCTCTGCCTCTGCCCGCTCTGGTCGATATCTCGAATTTCTCCGCTTGCTTGCTCCGTTCTCCTGTTCCTCCTCCCTCTTCCGCCCTCCCCCTTGCCCGAGCAGCCGTTCTCCGTTTCGTTACCCCTCCGCTGTAAGTACAAGCTATATCGCGTCTCTATTCCCGTTCCTTGCTCGCGATTCCTCGTGATAGAGCCGGGAAGTCGAGACTCCCAGATTTCGAGCCGTTCACACGTGCCCGACCGTTTTTCAACCCGTTTCCATCGTAGCGTGTGCCGTTGTAATTTGTACGTCGTGAGGATAGATAGATTTTTAGATTTTTATACTATAAGGATTTGAACAATGATAATTTATTTCAACAGAAAGTTCGTCTCTATACAAGCGCTCAACTGCCTTTGCAGCTTTCTTTCTTTTTCGTCTTTCGTTTGACACTTTGACTGCCACGTCTCCTGAATTCGGGTGACACATTAATTTCTTTCATGACGCATCGAGCGAACCGAGTTTTGTTGGATATATGAGATATGAGAAGGATAGTGGAGCAGTTATTAAGAATCTTGATTTCTCAGTTTCTGGTTAATAGAGAAAACTGCTTTGAGTACGTGGGAGTTTTGATGAGTGTTTGCGTGGCAGTCAAAGTGTTAGAAATGCAGCATCGCAGAGCAGCCTCTTGTTTGAAAGTACAGATGCTTCTGTGAGAAGTTGAAGAAGTTGATTTAGTAACACTGAAATGTGAAGCGATTGACATCTTAACCCTTTGCACTCGGAAGCTTGTCACTAGAAATATTTGACTTTCTAATGAGACATAGGCGACATTTGGAACGAAGTAATGAGAAAACGTAAATTAAGAAACAAAGCTGTTTTATATAAATATTTCACATATTGATGCGTTATACAAAATTTAGTATTATATACAACGCTTTGTAATTTTCTTATATCAAATCAAATGACTGAGAGTCACCTCTCGAGTGCAAAGGGTTAATAAATGCACAGTTGTTAGTTTTATGAAGAAATTTGGGAAGGCAGTTTGAGTGCTTGGAATATTCTAGGTTCATTAGAAACGAACATTAACGTGAAAAATCGGTATTAGAGAAAATCAATTTTTCTTCCATTTCTGACCTTGCATGACCTTGAAAATCACTGTGCACTATACGAATGAATTCGTCTAAACATGCTTTTATATGATATAAAGAAATACAGCATTCCATTTTTCAAAAAATGAACCTTCATATCTAACAAAATAGTATAAACTCAAATATATTACCCATTGCGTATAAAAAACAGTACCACTCTTTCCTCTTTCACTTCTTCCCAGTATTTACTATTTACAAGAAAAACGCTGGCTAGTAATAGTGTCAACACCCTGTATATAATTTCTAATATTACATTATGATATTTTTATAATCATTATAACATTCTTACTATTTCGTTCACGTGCGTAAATATTTTGAAATGTATCAAGTGATATTTCAAATTTCAAATTGCCCCCCTCAACACTAGATTTACGGGACCCGTCAATTTGACGGATATTGAACTTTTTAAGCATTACTTCGTAACAATTTAACTCGATTTTGATTGATGCAATTTTGCGAATGCTCATTGTAATTCTCTGTTCTTGAAACACTAATTCTCGCAATCTATATAAACAAACTATACTCTTATCTGTATAATTTCATCTGTTTATCTATATAAACAAACTATACTCATATCTATATAACTTTATCTGTTTATCCATATAAACAAACTATACTCCTATCTATATAATTTCATCTGTTTATCTATATAAACAAACTATACTCTTATCTATATAATTTCATCTGTTTATCTATATAAACAAAATATACTCTTTTAGGAACGATGGAATGAAGTATAGAATATATCTCCGCAAATCCAGTGTTAAAAATCAAATCAAAAATAAAAATCAAAGACTCTAGTCTAGAGCATTCGTTCGTATCGCTACCTTCGAAACGATCGGAGTTCCGTCGAGAAATCAGCTGTTGATAGAACGAAGTACAGAATATATCTCCGTAAATCCAGTGTTAAAAATCAAATAAAAAGTAAAAATCAAAGACTCTAGTCTAGAGCATTCGTTCGTATACCTTCGAAACGATCGGAGTTCCGTCGAGAAATCGGCTGTTCCGCGACGCGCGCCATTACGAATTCGAGTCGGCTCGATTATAATCAACGATAAAGCTCCGAGCTGATCCCGACCGGTCGCAAAAAAGCGCCCGAGTTCCGAACCGTGGCGCGCGCGCGGAGCAAACTTTCGATTTACCTGTTGAATTTTAACGAGCCCATCCTTATCCCGCGGACGCGATCGCGGTCGCGATACGGAGCGAGCACACGCGCGCCAAGTCGAGCCGTGCAGTCGATAGCGTCCGTTTTGAAATTTAATAACGGTCGTTCGCCCACCTAGGGGACAATTAGAAGCAGCGTCGATCGAAACCGTTGTCGAACGCTCGGTATCGGCCGCGCGCCGCGTCCGTGTCCCTCGACGTTCACACTATCAACCATGAGAGGCGAACAATGGAATGGAAAGAGAGAGAGAGAGAGGGAGAGAGAGTATCGTTGGTGTTATAATGGAATAATGAATCAGTTTTTACTTATTTATAACTCTTCATACCTCCCTTCCTAGCTCTCGCGCTGGAAATTCATTTAGAGATCCGGCGAAGTGTTGCGCAGGAATTCCGTTTTCACCTGTTTCAGATGTCTGATTTTGTTTATTAACCCTTTGCACTCGAAAGTTTTTCCATAGAAATATTCGATATCCTCCGATCGGGTACAGACGATGTTCTTCGAAACGAATTAACGAGGTAATATGTAAATTAACCCCGGCCGAATTTTGTTTCGTGATTATAACGAAATTTACGCAGTATGAAATTAATAAATCAACATATGCACATAAATTGAAAATATGTTCAATAGTTTTAATAGTTTTATTGAAACGAGTATATTTTGTAACTTTGGAGTTACGACGTTGAACGTAAACGCCTGCGTGTATGAAACTCCGAGTTGATTAATCATTTAATGTCATCCGTCGGTTTGCGATAAAAAATTGAATAAATCAATTTCACCTAGTCTATTGATGTGTGACTTCGAAGTTACGTGGGCTTATAGAGGGTTAAAGGAAAGTTATTTTATTTTAACATTCCATATGTTGATGCATCATGCAAAGCTTAATATTATGTATAAGACTTGATAATTTTGCAAATTAAATCATGACTGAGAGTCACCTCTCGAGTGCAAAGGGTTAACCCTTTGAAGATTGTTTTTAGTACAAAACCTTTCGCGGATTCTGCTAAATTAAACGCTGAATACTTGAATCATAGAGAATAAGGAAACTGCGTACTGATTTCTTGCTGTTCGAATAGTTCAATCATTTGTAACTTGGTATTCCAAATATGGAAGTTTCATCTCAGCAAAATAACATTCGTGTTAACCCTTTGCACTCGAAACTTTTTCTCATTAGTATTACCAGCAGTTCCAGGAAATTTTAATCCTATGTGGGCCCATGTAACTTTGAAGTCACATATCAGTATATTGGCATCTTGTTGATTTATTTCATTTTGCACTCAAAGTGGTGAATAAAATGAAGATCAGTTAACTGCAACTTTTATACGCTCAGGCGTGAAAGTTTAACGTCATCGTAACTCGAAAGTTGCGAAATATACTCGTTCGATGAAATTATTGAAACTAGTCAATACATCGTTAATTCGTATTCATATATGGGTATTTATTAATTTTGTACTGCATAGATTTTGTTATAATCGTGAACAAAAATTCGGCCCATAGGGGGTTAATAGAAAAAGCCTGTTAACGTATAAATGAACGATACGCGTACGAAAAGTCATAGATATACTTCATTGTTTTTTATCGATTATGGATATGAATGTTATCACATATTTAATAATAAAGTTTCGCAGTTTTTAATGATAAATTTTAAATGGCTCTGCCGCAGAGCCCTCGAGTTCAAAGAGTTAACCCATTTGCATCGTAAACGCATGTACGCGCGCCGCCGTTCTAATTTGTATATCACGAAAAAAGGGAAAGATAGATTTTATGAGGGCAATAATTACCGTCCGGCTATATAGGTTTTTACATTTTTATACGCTGCGAACCATTTTTATTTCGACGCAATTGAAACATTTGCGGCGAGGGCCGATTTTCCGCTTTTTCGGGCGACGCAAATGGGTTAACCGTTTGAGTCCCAAGCGGCGCGATGGCGCTTCTCTGTCGCATTGTTGAAAAGTGCCAATATAGGTTCCTGGAATCGGATGAAGCTTATTTATTTCTCCATCGAATTAGTCATTTTTAGTTTTGTCATTACTCGCCTGATACTGGGGAAATCTAACGATTGCACTATTTGACCACTTCCGGTGGAAAGACGTCGAGATGCTTCTGTTACAGGAACGTCAGCGACGTACACATTGACAATTGTCAGAAATGTCAGTTTTCCAAATTGTTTTGAAAAATATCATAATATGCTAGATTATTAACCCTTAGCACTCCACATAGTTTTGTGATATCTCAGCTACTCCTATCAATTTTGATAGTCCTACTGAAAATTGACAATGTTATAACATTTCTTAGACCTTTTATTCCCTTCTCAGTACAAACTTTCTATAGTTGGAAGATCTACTAATCTTAAGGTAGTTTTCTTAAAATTCATTAAAATATTTAATATTAGAACTAGTGCAATATTGGAGCCTACAGAGTTCAAAGGGTTAACTTGCGGACGAAGATTCTTAGAAACATAAAACCTTCAGCAGACGAAGTAAAATGATATATATTGCTTAAATAATAGAAAGAAAAGAAATTATACACAGATCCCTTGTTGTTCAAGTAATTGAATCATTGCAACTTACTCTTCCAAATATGGAAATTTGATCTCGAAATGTCATTCGTCCGCAAAGGGTTAAAACACGGTCGAAACACCTCAACGACGTCGCCATCGCGCTAACGAAAGCCCAATCTTATTCCGCCATTTTCCAACGCGACGCTTACTCTTCCAAACATGGAAATTTGATCTCGAAATGTCATTCGTCCGCAAACGGTTAAAACAGCACAATCTTATCCCATTTTCCAACGCGACGCTTCCCACATTTCCCCATCGAGTACCAATCCAGAAAAAACAACGCGTTCTCGTCCCCTGCGAGTAAATAATAGTCTCGAGCGGTGTCGCGTTGCAGAGTCCGTCTCATGGGTGAAGATGTCGACGGAGAATCCGAAGCCGCCGAGGTACTGCATCTACGAGGACAAGCCGAGGAGGATCGGCGAGCGGTGGCAGTCCGCCGAATGCGTGAGCTGCGTGTGCGAGGAGGACGGGGAGCCCTCGTGCCAGGCGACATTGTGTAAATCCTGCGAGAACGCCATTCCGCCGGCGCCGGGCGAGTGCTGTCCGCACTGTCCGCCGAGGAACGCGACCCGCGTGCAGCCGAAACCTTGCCAGGGATCCTTGGACAACTGCGCGCTCACCTGCGAGCACGGATTCCTCGTCGACGAGAACGACTGTCCCGTCTGCAGCTGCGTCCCGGACAAGGTACGTCGAGAAGGAGCTAAATTGTCGTTCCCATTTCAATCGCCGACGTCGAATTTCCCATTTAGCAGTTTATTTCGTACAAGTACGAGTTTGGCTGTCAGTTCACGCATTTAGCAGCCAGATTCGCACGGTCAGGGTTTTTCCGGGATTTTTCAGGGATTTTCGCACCCTTTTTACGCGCGTTTTTCCTCTCGCGTTTTTGACGGCGTGTGCTTCCTGCTCTTGTCTAAGGGCAAGGATAACCCGGAAGACCCGGGACGAGAGACGAATTATTACACATTATTCCAAATAAATTCCTCGGAATTATTCTTAACACATTGAGCGCCGGCGACTTAACCCTTTCGCGACGTGTATATACGGCAGTCACTTGTGAATCGTAATTATATTATTGTTTTACTTCAATAGCGAACTCAAAATAAAGCTAGTACTGGCATTAGGCAACACGGAAAATGAGATACACAATTTAGCGCAGTCGTGAAAAGTGGCGAAGTATGGTATGGGTACGCCATCGCGAAAGGGTTAAGAGACATTTAAAGCCTGAGCGCCGGCAGCGTATCGGCCACTTAGCCGACTTCATTCGCTTGTTGATCAATGAGTAGCCAAAAGAAATATTCAAAATATACGTTTTCGTAAATAGTACATTTTAATTGCATATTCGTCACATCCAGAAATCCGCATTATTGCGGGCGCTCAATGTGTTAAACCCAGACAAACCAACAACCCTCCGAACTAGCCAATCCTCCTATAGTTTGGCAATACATACTAAATCGCGCCGCAAACGAGTACAGTCCCAATCATAGAAACCCACTAATTGCGAAAACGGGAAACTACACAAAACTTGAGTACCCACTCCGCCCAATAAACGCCCCCATCAAACCAGCTCTAATAATACCCGAGACATCAGGTTTTTCGAAACTTTTACCCTAAAATCACACCAGAAGGCATCAGCAACCCGCATATCCCAGCACTCAAGACGCTCAACCTCCCTACATCATCCTAGATTAATCCTGGTACACGGGACACAATATCCCTGGAGCTGACGTCTCCACTCAAGGGGAACTGATTGGAAAAAAAAGGAAAAGGATGAGAGACAATCTCACTCGACCTCGCTAAGACGCTACGCTGCCCGAACGCGAGTCACCCCCTTGTACCGCGTATTTCACGAACTTCGATGCACGCAGCGAACTAGGGCACTCCCTTCCTCGATACTATCGAAAGAGGTGTTACAGGGAAACCGCGGATCCACATTCATTCGTGATAAAGTACATTTAACCCTTTCGTTACGGCAGTCCGCCTCGCTGCGGTGACGCCATTGGAGCGCTGTGCCGCGAAGCGTGCATATTGCGCGTTGGCAAACTGGTGTTCGATGTTACCTTGTCATTCTGCGGATCAGGGTTATTCATTACCTACGGATCAAAGCAAATAACTATTTTGCTGTTATCAATTCCTTATCTTCAAATGAAAATTCCACTTCAAGTAGAATGGAAAATTTTGTTGCATTTCTTCCAAATTGTCAATAGCAAATTTTACACGAGCTTATTAGCGAAAGTAAATAGTACGTCAAGGGGTTGACAAAACGAGATTGCACATTACACGTACTATCGACCACGCGACTACGAGAAGAAACGCGTCTATAACTAAATAACGAAACAAAAACGGGGGTGCGAACGCGTCCCAGATGCTCCCTTGTTCATCGCGTGCGCACTGCCGCGATTTACACGAACGCCTCGACACTTTATCACGGCTACCCGATATTTTTGTAAGAGGAGTTTTCTAGAGGAACTGTGTCACTCCGACAAAAGTAAATACGACAGAGTTTGAAACTAAGTATACATTTATTAGTGTAGGAAGGAAACCCATTCAGGGCGTTGGGGATTCGGAGGATGTACTTTGATGAGCGCGAGAGAAGTGACAGAGTCTACCGCTTCTCAGTTTAATCTTTCGATTTCTAAATGTGCAATGAATAATGCCGGTCGGTCGGCGTACAATATATATCTCTCCGCTAGTGGCGGGGGAGTGACGGACGCGTGGTTAGGGTTGGTTTTTCCCAAAAATTGGGAAAACCCTACTTCCCCGCCAGCGGTCTGTCGGTTGGTACCGGAGACCCGGAAATTTCCAAAGACCATAGCAGCAACAGCCTCAAGGATCGCCTCGACTTTAACCTCTTAGGCACGGCTGAATTTCGCGCGGGGCTGTTTCTCTGTACGGCAGAGTTCTGTACGGACAGTGCTGTTCTCTACGCGAGTACATTGGAATGCAGTTTTCGATTATTAAATTATGATTTTTCTGAAAGATATGATACACATAATTTGACTTTAACAATTTGCTTGAATAATTGAAATTGAAATTCTTTCATGATGATGTCATATAGAATTGATTAGTAATTGATTGATTCTGAATTTTTAAAGTAGTCACTAAGTGACCTCTATTGACCACTACTAACTAATTGCATATTTATCATATTACAGTAGTTCTATTGTTAAGAACAAAGTCCCTGAAATTCTCTCACGATGATGTCATATAGAATCGGTTAATAATAAATGATTAATTTGAATTCTTAAAGTAGTACTGCCGTTCACTCAGTGACCACTATTGGCCACTGTTAAGTAATTTACTAAAGTGACGTCTATTGATCGCTACCGACTATTGACCACTTTCTCGCTGGCAAGTTGTGTTAAATACTCGTGAATGATGTACGTAGGTAATTTAGTTTCCATCGACAAGTTTCAAATCTTCCGACACCGAGGCCTAAGACGCTTCCGAGGATCCTCCAGCTTAGACAGGAACTGTCGTTGTTTTCTCAAAGTAAACGGAAATTGAAATAGTCGTTTTCGTTAGTAACGCGTATAAGGTAGCAGCAGTGTTGAGAATGAGCATGAAGTATATTTTTAACCTCTTAGGCACTGCTGAATTTCGCGCGGGGCTGTTTCTCTGTACGGCAGAGTTCTGTACGGACAGTGCTGTTCTCTACGCGAGTACATTGGAATGAAGTTTCCGATTATTAAATTATAATTTTTCTGAAAGATGTGATACACATAATTTGACTTTAACAATTTTCTTTAATAATTAGTAATACAATTGGGTATGATCTATGATATATTGGTAGCGACGGAGCCACTATAGTGGCGCGTCGTGCCTAAGAGGTTACATGCAGACATAAAATTCGTAGCTATTGCCTACCTTGGGCTCAATCTACGAACTAACTGATAAAACGACAAGCAACGGGTCCCTGGACTTTATTACTGCTAGGATAGGCTCGAAAAACGGTTCTACATTAGCATGTATTTCAACTCCTCGCACGATGATTCGTCGGAGGAGTTTTCTGGAGTGTTTTACTTCAACAATTCGTGTATCGTAATTCTCGGATAACCAGCTGACCGATTTCAGGAGAACGAGGACCCTACGACCGAACGACCGGACGCGGATCTCGACGCGTGTCTGCCCGTGTCGGACTGCGAGCCGAACTGCGAGCTCTCGAAGGACGAGGATGGCTGTCCTATTTGCCCCTGCCAGACTCCGCAGGTGTTCGACGAGCCTACGAACGACACTGTTCTGATCGACGGGAACGGCAAGAAGATTTGCCCCGAGCTGAAGTGCGACCTGCACTGCGAGAGGGGGCTGCTCATGGACGAGAACGACTGCACTTTCTGCAAGTGCAGGGCTCCGGACACCGACTGCCCGCCTCTGATCGGGTGCAGGAAACGATGCACCTACGGTTACAAGACGAACAGACGCGGCTGCTCCGTGAGTAGATCTGTTGAATATTTATCTAACCCTTTGCACTCCGACAGTTTTCTACCGAAAATGTAGTTAACATTTCTTGAAACTGGCTTCGCGAGCAGTCGTACGTAAATTGAAGAGGCTGTTTTATTTTAATATTTCACGTATTAACACACTGAACGCCGGCTAAATTTCAGCTACTGAAATCCCGGCGCCGGTCCGTCGCAATACGACCTGGTCGCCCTTGCGCACGCACGACAAACCATTCATCCTACAATAAATATTCTAGATACTACGATACCGATAAACAGAAGCGTCTCCGCGCTGTCCGCCATTTTGGCGCAGCACAAGAGCGCTGTAGCGCTACTCGGCACTCAAACGGTTAACTTACTCGTGGTCCGCAGATATGTCGGTGTCGAGCCTTCTGCACCGATCACCTTAACGAAACGCACCCGGAAGGATCAACTTGGCACCCGAACACGTGCAAGGAGTGCACCTGTCAGACCGGAGGTCGACTCAGCTGCAGGGAGACCATATGCTTCGTCGGCTGCAGCGACCCTCTGCCACCGAAGCCGGGAACCTGCTGTCCGACCTGTGTGATCGAGGTAAGCGAACTCCGTTCTCTCGAGGACTCTCTCGAAGCTTCCTCCGTGCGAGCCGCGTTCGTCAGCACTGAAACTATCGGAAGAGTTAACCCTTTGCGGACGGATGTCGACGTTTCGGCGAGATGAAATTTTTATATTTGGAAGGCTAAGTCGTAAACAGACGATTTAATTACTTATAGCAAGAGATCAGCAAGTAGTTTCCTGTTTTTCTATTGTTCAAGTAATTGATTAATTTAGCTTCATCTGTTGTGGATTTTGTATATTTCAGAGAATCTGAGAATCAAAGGGTTAACGTCACTCTTGATTCCTTCCTTTTGCTATTATGGAAAAGATAACCTTTTAGAAGAAATCATTGACAGGTTGAATGTCGTAGTCACCGGTAATCCCCAACATCGAATTACTATAGTTCATTCAATTAAACGTTGATTATTTGAAAACATTTCTGTATTATGAATAATACTATATAATACGGTGACATTCAACTAAATTAACGTGTAATAATATTAATGCAGTTCAATCACTCTTGATTCCTTCCTTTTACTATTATGGAAAAGATAACAGATGTTTTTAGAAGAAATCATTAACAGGTTGAATGTCGTGATCACCGGTGATCCCCAACGTCGAATTACTATAGTTCATTCAATTAAACGATGATTATTTGAAAACATTTCTGTATTATATATAATACTATATAATACGGTGACATTCAACTAACGTGTAATCATATTAATGCAATTCAATCAAATTAGTAATATATTTTCCTATTTTGAGTATGCCGCTCTCAGCGAACGAGGTGTTTGAATGTTAACACATTGCGTGATACAAGCTACCTTTTGAAATAACACTAGTTAGAAAGAACATGCCGCCATATTGGCGACACCGATTTCCAAGACGAATATTGACTGTCGCCATTGTGGCGGCCCGATCGCAAAGCGCTGAGCCACACCTATTTACATTGTTTTGTATATTTTTGTATAGTTTCATACAGTTTTATATAGTTTTATATTGTATTACACCTTTTTATGTCGTTTTATATAGTTTTACATAGTATTACATCAATAACCGTACGTCAATGCGTCTAAACCGAACGTCCACATTTGTCGAACAGACTCCGAAGGAGAACGAACCTGCCGGCCACCAGGGATCAAGGGGTTGGGGCACCGTGCCGATCACGCTGATCGCCATACTGAGCCTGCTGCTGCTGCTTCTGATCGTGCACATCGTCCGCAGCCGCTTCCGCGGCCGGCTGTCGCCCTCCGAGACGACCTCCTGCTCGTCGTATCCCCCGCAGTACTACAAATACGTCCCGGCGTACGACACCCCGATGCATCGAAACGAGAAGATCGTGCCGTTGTAAAAGACTGGAAAAGTCGACGTTCGAAGAAAACCCACGAGGACGTTCTCGCCGGGACCGTTCGGCGGTGTTCACCGGAGAGGAGGCGGGGGCGGCGAACAAGAAAGGCGTGGAACGTGCCCGACAGACGCGGATCGCGATAGGTACAGTCGGCCCCGTCGCCGACGGAACCGCGTGTACCGTGCGTAGCTTCAGTATTATTCGTAAGGTGGCTGCGATTCGATGGGGGGAAAACGATGGGGACGAAAGGAGAGGGCGCAGATATCACGCCGACGTTACCGTCTTCGCTCCCCCTGAACTTCGCGCGAATCCTGTCGTAACCTTGTAAATTGTAATGTAAAAGCTAGCGTAAACCGTCGTGACGAGGTAAAACGAGTAAATGTACTAACGATAAGCAGCAGCTGCTAGGCCCCCCGACGTAACCGAGAAACCGTAGAAGAGAGACGGGAGCGCGTCTCGACCGTAGTATTAGATTCCTCGATCTCTGGACCACCCGATATCGCGACGAACGAGCTCCCCGTGACCCGAGGGTCCGAGTGTTCGCCCGTGCCGGGGATATCTCGCTCGACGATCGGAGCACCGTCGATCGCGACCTTGCTCGCGGGTGCCCCAGTTACGGAGCGGACTGTGCGCCGTTCTTGCGTACTCCGCGGGACCGATCGGAGCCGTTCAATTCGAGACCTCGCGCCGCGAGAAGGCGAGAACAGGGACAAGAGGAACGGAAAGACGACCGGACAGAGAAGTCGCGGTGCCGCTCCGCGAGAATAGCGCGAGATGCTCGCTCCTAGTTTTAGCCCTTCGTTAACTGTGTTACTAAACTGTTCCTGAGTTCCGCTTGTTTTCGACGCGAACAGCGCGTCCTCGCGCCTAACCGGCGAGCACCGTTCCGCGATATTTATGCCCGAACGGAATTTCATTTACGATCGCGTGGATCGCGACGAACGGGACGATGCTACGTTTACGCGGCGCGCGAGCAAAAACGACACTCGAACCGACGTCGCGTTCTCGGATCTCTCGTTACGCGGCTCTTTGATTCCCCGCTTTTTCCCTCGTTTCTTTCCCCGGAACGAAGACGTCTGTCGGGAGCTCGGTATAGATTTTAATGTGACTTTTATACGACGCCGTCGCGAAAACATCCGATACTTTCCTACGGTCCGTCGAGCGTTGCAATTTATTTGTTACCGTATCGCTTTCTGTTCCCGACGATTTACGGATTTCGGATTCTTGGTTCTTCCGCGTGACTCGCGCTTGTACATATTCGCGTAACCGGCATCGTTCGTTCGCGTCGCGCTCCTTTCCGCGTCCTCCACCGACAACGCCGACATTCTCTATTGTAATATAGCGCATCGTTGTCGAACGAACCAGAGAACCGGCCGGAGAAAGAGCGAGCGTATCGTGTACATCTGCGCGTAGCTGAACGCGAGGAAGAAATCGAGCGAGAGACTAAACCCGAATGATATGAACGATTCGTGAAATCAGTGGACGATGCGACCTGCGAAGCAGGAGACAGAAAGAGAAAGTAGAAGGGAAAAGAGATACCAAGAATGAAACGCGGAAGATCAAATTCTCGCGAGGCGTTTGAATGTTAACGCATTGCGTACCGACTAATTTCCAGAGAGCCGAATTGTGATGGCAATTCTCAATGAGATCAGCTTAATGACTATACATACAAAAATTCAGATATGTTATTGTGTAATATATTTCAACACGTTGACTGCCGTGCATTAACCAAATTAAATTACCGTAGTTCATTCAATTAAACGATGATTATTTGAAAACGTTTCTATATTATAAATAATGCACGCAGTGACATCCAACTAGATTAACGTGTAATAATATTAATCTTAATTCAATCGAATAATTTAGTAATACATTTCTCCATTTTGTATTCCGCGATAATCCTGCATTCAACGTGTTAAATAGATAATCGAATTTAATATTTCTTTGAATCCTGTGGTATAGCAAAGTTGCATAGCTAAGTGTCTTTTTTTAGAAACGAGATTTCTCGTTACCAGTACGCAATGAGTTAAGTTTCGATTGGAACCCATTGGATTGGAGTTAGTCGATCCGCCGCGAACGTTGATCACACACACACACACACATATCCACGTAGAAGAGACCCGTCTAATCTTTCCCCCTCTTCTGAATTAACGCGTACATATATTTTTTCAATGTGACACTCTCGTCTTACGGTGCGTCTTGTGTAACTTACCGTCTATCGTCTATCCTCTAGTAATTAATTACTGAAATGTTACGCTCGATTCGAGACGAGCGCATACCCTTATGCAGATGATGATACACCCTCTTCCTCGGCGAATCCTCGCCTGTATTTCGGACGCGTACGCGTACCTTTGGAGACAATATGTATCGACGACAGGCTCGTACGATGTTCCCGTATCTCGTAACGGCGCGACGAGATCGTTTCTCGTTCGTTTCCCGAATTTCCTTACCGAGACAGGATCGGCAAGATTATACCGCACTTCCAGTTAGGAACTCCGTCTAATGAAATTTCGAATGAAATACTGATGGACGGAGTCGAAACGCGTGACGCTGCTCTCGAGACGTTAACAGGAGGTCGACGATCGATCGGCAACCGTGAAGAAATCGGGAGAGAATTGGAAGAAGCTTGTTTCTTCTCGATAGGTACAGAAGAAAAACATTCTTGTTTCGTAGAGATCGACGAGTAAAACCGCGTCGAAGATCAATCGGCAACAGAGAAAAAATCGGGAGACAATTGAAAGAAGCTTGTTT